CCATATGCCAGAATGTATGTTGAAGAGAACCTTAACATTCAGATTTGCATTCTTACGTTCTGTAAGTAAGATTACATTAAGAAATACTAACATAAACAAGATTAGGAATATTTAAAAATCACAAAAGAATTTTTGTAATTATGTGAACATATTCAGTTTACTATGTGCATATATTTAGTCTGTGTGTGTGTGTGTGTGTGTGTGTGTGTGTGTGTTTCCCAAGTGTGGAGGAAAGACCCAGTGTAATGAAGAATTATTGCTGTGTAAAAGTATAGGAATATCTCATTGGTCATAATGTCTATTGACAGGCACTTTCAGCTTTTAATTCATTTCTGAAAATGGGCATTAGCTTATCCTATTGCCAGTGTAGATTCATTTAACTTGTGGCCATAACCATAGCTCTTCATCTTGTCAACATGAAGCTAGTCTTCAAACTCTTCATTCCCTCTGCAATTAAACAAGAATAAACACCTCACCGTTGTTTTGTTGTTTTCCGTTCTCGTCAAGAACTAGTTCGAAAGGGGAGCCTGGGTGGCTCAGTCCGGGAAGAACTAGTTCATTGAGGAGGAAGATAATGGAGAAAAGAGAACAATTGCTAGAAGCTTCTCTTTAGCACAAGTAAAATCCGATGCAGCTATTTCCCCTTTCCAGGCAAAGACATTTTGAATTTGGAATCAGTTGTTTGCAACTTAAAATGACTTCATTGTGTTTTAAACCATCCTGGCTAAATGGAGACGAGTGGCCACTCCATTTTGTCAGAGCACAACGAATGTGCTCTGCCAAAGGAGAAAAGAGTTCCCATGGCAATATTGCTAATTGTAAGATATACAAGGCATATCTGAACAAGTTTCTTTTTTTTTATTGTGATGAAAACTAGAAGCTCTTTTTTTTTCCCAACATACTTCATCAAACTATTTACAACCTCTGTAAAATTTGCGAGTTTGAAAATACTTTTCCACTATCACATATGTTTACGAATACAGCAAAATATTTTCACTCTATTTTTTTTAAAGATGCAGTATCCTCCTATTTCATTTTCTTACGAAAATCTGAATTTCTATTGCAACTGCACAGTATTCAGCATAAAGTACCAATGGACATGGGTTGCTAAACAGACATTACTCTATAATGAAGCTGTGAAAATATAGCATTTTTAAATTTATATGTACACCTCTTAACTATAAAATGCAGGCAAAGTCATATATAGCATCATAAGCTGATTCCCTAATAAGGTAAATAACTTACATCTCTAGACAGCATGGATTATTACAAATTCATTCTTTTAAAAAAAGTTCTTTGTTGATATTTGCTGGCCCACTGGCTGCTGTGTATGCTGGCGTGTGTGTGTTGGGGGTGCCTATACGGGTAAGTGGAATGCAGTGTGGGGACAAGCAGAAATGCATACAGAAAACGTGACTTACCAAACCCCTTTCCTAGATGAAACCAAATCAAATTGAAAGACTAGTTTTAATGAGATGCCCTACCTCGGAAAAACTGAAGGAAGAGATCTGGGCAATGAAGTTAGAAAATACATTCACCTCCTCCATGTACAGGCGTGAGTGCAGAGCGGAAGCCGAGGCTGGGCTATGGACTATGAGTATTAAGGCTTCCCGGGCCTAATGTGATCCGTGGGAATTCTCTCCCGCTCAGTCCCTCAAGTGAAAACTCAGCGTGTCGTGGGTGCTGGCATTCTGAACAGTGCTGAAACTCTGTCCGTCCTCGCTATGTGAGGACACCTTTATAACAACATCGTGGCCACATTTCTAAGCAGTCATAACAACAGGACAAAGGCGATTAGTTAGTATATCTGAAGGCCTCACCTCACCGGATTTATTCAATGGCAGCTTTGGTACGTATAATAAATAAAGTACAGAATAAGGAATACTGCATCTTTATCCATATACATGTCACCGTTCGAATGAACTGATTTCAAAGTGCAGAATTATATTTACGTTTAAAACACAAGTGGCAAAATTTGAAGTTTAAAAAAAAAAGGTGTATAAAAGGGAACACAATCTTTGTATAAGCTATTCCAAATTTCAACCACAAGGAGAATGGCCTTTCTAATCACCTAGAACCGGCATTTGTAAACACTGTAGCATCTTATAAGTTCTTTACCCCTCACGATCCTCTTCCTATTTTCCACTTAAACTCTCAAGTGAATAAAAAGTGCTCTTTTTAAAAATGCAGTTTGTATTACTGTTGCTCCACTGCTTTTGAAAATAAATGTCCTATAGTGTTTTGTCGAAGGGACGGCAAGCAGTAGGATACTCCTTATGGGAAAGCCATTAGGAAGTTTAGTCTAAACGTCTTAATAGAACTTAAGACAAGCTATCAAGCAGGCTTCCCGGAGTCCACACATAACTAACAGGATGGGGCCGGAGGCCGATGGGGAAGCGTGAGGCTGCTTCCTAACAACTTAAGGTCAGAATACGGGGAGGGAATCTGTTAGAACCTCAGGGTAACCTGTAACTTTTCAAAGAACATTAACTGCCTTGAACTCCGTCTCTACAACGCACAGAGACCTCCAGGCCTACTGCAGCTTCTCAAGCCACCATGGCCGTCTGTGGAGAAGTTCTCAAACACGCGCACACGTCCAACTGCGAACTGAACAGCTCCAGAGTTAAAACCAAAGAATGCTTCTAGTTTGGGGATGGACAAGTCCTGTGGATTCTGTGCCATTCCTGGTGTTCATCATCTACTACTGTGCTTTTCTAAAAGAGGCTAGAATGAACACAGATGAAATGAGGAGGCTTCTCCACGCCTGAAGATACTCCTACCTGAAAACCCAATTCCTTCTCTCCCCAACCGCTTTCCTTTCCGAGGGGAAACATTAGTAGAAAACTCACCAGGGAGAATTTGTTATGTTCCAGGACGAGCCCCAGGGAAGTTTCAGTCCTGGGGTGAGATCAGCAACTCACTCACTCACTGTTTGTGCTTGGATCCCTCTTTAGAAGTATCGAGCATGTCAAGGGGGCGGAGGGGGGTTGGGAGATGGCGGAACACCGACAGTTTTAGCGGTTAACTTACCATCTCAGTCTGATTTCCACTCTCAGAGGGTGAGGAGAAAAAGCTTACTTCCCTGAACCTTTCCTATGTGATCGGAGAGGAGCAGCCCATTTAGTTCTGTGCTAAATTTAAATCAAGCCGTCACTCAGGAAACTCCCACTGCCTGTCAGTTCTATGAATTCTAAAAACCGTTTCTACCTGTGACACTCTCAAGACATCTCTGTGCAGAGAAGAGATCGGCCCATCCTCTGAGAGCAGGCAGAACGGAGTCAAGTCTACACCGCTGCTGGGCGATTCACCTACTGACTGCCAGCCAGGTTCCAGGACCAGGAAAAGGGAGGGCGGCTCGGCTGTGTTGGCCACTCTCCATGTACTTTACCAATGACCAGGAACCAGTGCTAGAATGCAGCAAGAGACCCTTTTCTACCCAAAATGGTCACAGGCAATAAGAAGTAGGAATTGTATACAGTACAGATAAAAAACTTTCCAGTTGGTAAAAAAAAAAAACCCAAAAAACCAAAGAAAACAAAACAAAACAAAAAACCCCCCAAAAACAAAAAGCCAAAAAAAAAAACCAAAACAAAACAAAACAAAAAAACCACACACAAAAAAACAGTGCTTGGTGGGTAATAGATTATGTAGCAAAAGAAGTTATTTATCAATAGACTCGAAGCCCTTGTTCGAGGGAAATTGTGCCTGATGAGTTTTTCAGACCTGGCAGGAAATGCAGAGCACATAGTTTTGAAGATAGAATTTGACCTGAACATCATTATGCTGTTGCTTGAACATTTAAAACAATTCCTTTTAATACCATCCAACACGAATTGTCTTTGTTTCAACGTTTTATCGTTCCTTGCTTCGTCAGAGTAAGATTCTCTGAATTAGGGGATGATCCTAAAAAGGACAGTTCTGCCACCGGAAATTATTTCAGAATGTTCAAACATTTAAAAATGAGCTAGGAATATTGTGAGGTTAATTTGTGCAATTCCCCAAATCAAGTGTTTGTAATTAAAATACATTGCAAAGGTCTATGCTGGCAAACTTTTATATCTAAGCTATAAAAAATCTTAACAACAATGACAACAACAATAACAGAAAAAGTCACCAAGCCCCTTAGCCATGTAAAGCTGAAAGAAGAACAGCTTTTAGTGGGGAAAAAAAAAATATGATAATTTTTCTGAAAGAATGCTTGTTGGTGATGTATTGCTTTGTTTACTGTATACTCCACTAGTTGCAAGAAAGGCTCATTATTTTAGGGGGTTGACGGGACTGTCATCTCCCCTCACCCTCAGCACGGAATGAGTGGGTTCAACATCCCTGTCTGTGTCAACGCAGAATCCCTGGGGTCTGATACAGTTTAGAAAATGAAATCTGTATAGAAGAACCTAATGGAGAGTCACTTAGCCTTGGCTCTCCAAGTGAGGAAACTAGCACCATGTTAGGCTTTCCTCGGGGAGCATTCCCTTTCCACTGACTCGGTTCCAAGGAGGACTGACCCCTTAACCCAAGGGTTAATTCCCTGCTATGCCTCCTTGGCCTTTCTGTTCACCAAATAACTGTTTTCAAACAAGAAAAGGGGAGCATAATCTTTAATTGTGGTACTCGACCAAGCAGGACAACAAAATCAGCAGAAAGATTACCTCAGTGCTGTCCCTGTAACCAAGACCGCTAAACCACTGGGGTGTTTTTTACAATCCCTTTAGTAAGTATGAAAATTGTGGTAACGTGAGTCCTCAGTGAAGTTATTGTAGGAAAGTCCTTTTATTCATTATTGCTTTTCTCCTCAAGAGGCGCTTTATCCCATCTCTGCTTTGTCTGATTTTTCATGTTCACTGACTTTGCCCGAGCAGCCCCACCTCTGACCTTGGTGCCAGTGTGTCTAAGAAAGTTTTTTTTTTTTTCTTCCCCCTGATTCCTTGTAATCAAATACTAGGGGCAGGAAGAGATGATGCCTAGGTGACAGGACACTGCGATTTGAAGTGGGGCAGTAGTTTTTTTTTTTTTTTTAGACAGGCTCTTCCTATTCAACTACAGAACACCTTGGTGCCGGTCCACGCCAGGGCAGACGCTGGCACTATGCTCCACCTGAAATGTCGCTGCCCCTCTGCTCCAACAGATGAACAGAACGGAATCGAAACGAAACAGAAACAATCAACGACAAACAAATGAAAGATTCAATGTCGGTTTCTCTTCAGGGCATGGCCTAATGACAAGTGGCGGGTGGCGCTATTGCCAAGGGCCGCCTGAGTGCCCCCTTCTTTTCAGGTCATGGAACTCTCCAACAGGCTGCTTCTTCTCTACTTTCATGCTGCTCGCTGGAAACAGACTGGATGTGTGTTCTAGCTTACTGAGACAGGAACTAAAATTTCAGTAAAAAGAAGGGGGCAGGGTGGGGGGGGGGTGCGGGAGAAGAATCCCAATCTGAAAGGTCCTGCTCTAGCCATCGGCTGGTGATAGGTGACCTTTAAGGGATCGATAACAAAACGTCTGACAGCTCAGAAAACGTACAAGCTACAAACATCCTGAAACGGCAGAGTACACGGCACGGGGAAACAGTGCCTGTCTCCTCAGCGCTTGTGTCACGGATCTCCCAGGCCAGCGTGAAGACGTTTGTCGTGCAGTCGCGATGGGGGTTACCTTCAGACCGAAAGGAGAAGGGCTCCTTCTTGTTCCTGCTCTGGTTTCAGACATCGTGGGATGGTGACGCCCTTTTGCGTTAACACTGTGGAGGGGATTCAGCCCTGCTGAATGGGGTGCCGCTAAGAGACCCAGCTCTTACGCTCAGCTGGACGGGAAGCACTCCTCACACCAGCATGTGCCTCCGGCGGTGCAGGGCCAGGTGGTCTGACCGGGAGAAGCTGCGATCACAGTCCGCGCACTTGAACGGCTTCACGCCCGTGTGTTTGCGGTAATGCCTTGTCAGCTCGTCGGAGCGAGCGAACTTCCAGGTGCAGCCTTCCCAGGTACACTTGTAGGGTTTCTCTCCTGGAAGAAAAAGGGACACACGCTTTGGGTGCTCCGTCACTTGCCCCCAAGAACCAAGCCAGCACTATGTGTGGGGGCACTGTCCCTCTCCGTGGGGTTTCCGTGTGGTCATCTTTGGTCCGGAAGCCTCTGCACCCTGCCAGCGGGGTGGGGAGGGGTGGAGGAGGTCAGTCAGGTGGGGGCAGGGAGCGCGTTCCATCTCCTCCCTCCTGTGGTGACATCTGGCCAGTTAGTTCATTAACACTTGCCTCCTCAGTGACCGGGGACGGTACTTTACGTTCAAAGCATCCAAAGGGCCAGACTGATCGCTACGGGATATAACCACAACCGCTTGACTAAAAAGGCCTTTTAGCTTAGGCTGATTTGGCTCTAATGCTGACACTCGCGAAGAACTATATAGGGTCATTAATTACATTTGGTTTCAACACCCTTCCCCCAAAGGGCATCACTTAGATGGTTTAAGGCTATTTCAGGACACAATGTCCATTTATCGGTCATGGGGAATAGGCACAAAATCTGGTCGAAAGGTAGAAGCATTCCACCGCTCACCAGAAATTAGGTATGAATGAAGCACATGTCACTCATAAACATCTAGTTTTTGCTTGTCTATTGGAAAAGAATCCTAGATAGCTTACGAGTGTAAAGTTTAAATACTCTTTTCAGTGACTTAATTAGGGTGAGCCCTAAAGAATCATCACGTTGGTTTCAGTGTTGAAACTCATGGTGAAAAGCCGTCTGAAGAAGTATGTAATTTGACCGGGTCTTTCAGTCAACTTGTAAGGACGGTAAAATATGCAAAGGCTTTGCTGGGAAAAGATACACTATCCATTGTCCAAATGAACTCCCGGGGGGGAGAGAGACAATGGTTGACCCAGGTGTGGTGTTTTTTGTTTTTTTTTTTTCCCCTGGCTCTCATTCAGAATGGATGCCCTGTCCCCATGCAACCCCACAAAAAGTGATCTCTCCTGTTCCTCCCATCAAATAGTCAACAACAGGCATCCTGGCCACACACAGTCTTTGGTGAAAAGGGCCTAAGATAGGAAAGGGAGCTTTTTGCAGATTCCTATGCATAGAGCTGGAGGGTGAGTATTTTTAACCCCACTTTACAGATGAGAAAACTGAGGCTCAATGTAGTAAGGTAACTTGCCAGTGCCAGAAGAAAAAAAATGTACTTGGCTCCAAATGCAGTGCTTTTCACTGTGCTGCAGTGGAATGCATAGTTTTTTCCCATGTAAACTTTGTCACACCCTCAAAGTTATTTCTACTTTCTCAGGTATTCCCAAATCATTCATTTCTTACTTATATCATGTATCGCAACGTATCCTAAAAGTGTTATTCAGATGCCTTTCTCCTCCACCCGTTTCTGAATACATGGAGGTCAGTGCCTCTACCATTTCAATACCCTTGGAGCCTAGAGTAAGTATCAAACAAATGCTTGTATGAATTAGTGAGACTCACACACACACGGAACCACTGAACCCTATAAATGAGCGGACAAGTGATGCCTACGAGGGAGAACCAGTCTGAACCGAACCCAACAACTTTCATTCAGCCCTGAAATAAATGCTATCCATATGGGTCTTTTTAGGATCAAGGGACCCTTTCAGAAGGGAGTGAACAGCACAGACCCGTTAAATCTAGAAATACTGATGCACTAACTGTGGGCCTCAGAAAGCTCCAGGTAACTCTGGAAGGGCTCCTTTCAAGAAGAAGCCTAATGAGTGCAATAACCTAAAACCTCAACCGTTGACTCATTCTAGGTGCCCTACAGAGACAAAAATCTTCATTCGCAGGTGTCTACTGACCAAGTTGATCAGAAATTAAAACAAACAAACAAACGAACACAGAAATCAGAAGCCCTAACTGAAAAAGATTGAGAGTCTCCTACATAGTATATTAATGGCAACTGTTACCATGCTTTTATTTACATGTCCTCCCTGTGTGTTTGTGAATTCACATCAGGAGCGTGGGTTCTAACAAGCTGAGCTTGACATAAATCATGACTTCAAAGACACATCCATCTTTGGGACACTGTGCTCAGCTGGTGGCCTCTGTCACTAACAGGCATCTTCCAGTCCTCTCCAGACTGGAACCAGTCCAGAGTGTAAGGTTTGGAAAGGAAAAGAATAGTGGGTTTTCTTAATTGAAGGATGGATGCTCAAAGTGTCATATATGTATGACTCCCTTTGCCATTCTGGATAGAGAGGAAGGGGACCCATAGGTGGGATAAGCCTGGAAAGTAAGTAAAGACCAGGAGGGGACGAGAGCCTCCAGTGTCATCTCAGGAAGGATGGTAGAGTTTCGAATGGCCCACCATGGGGACAGTTTATTGTCTCAGGCGTTCTCAGAATTTCCTTGTACATCGGGAGTAGGCACTTAATATTCTCTAATTTCTTCCTCACAATTATAATAGTATAACTTTTCCTTCCATTTTGGCTGTTTAATAATGACACTTATGTCCTTTCTACTTGAAAATCTACAGCAGAGATTGGCTCTTCGGGGCTAAATCTAGTCTGTGGCCTGCTTTTTGTGCAATCTTTGAGCTTAGAGTGGTTTTTATACTTGGTACGTGGTTGGGGAAGAAAAAATCAAGAGGTCTATTTCACAGCATGTGAAAATTACATGAAATTCAAATTTCAGCATCCATAAATAAGTTTTTGTTGGAACAGGAGTCTCCATACTGTTTCAGGCTGTCATGCACTGAGGGCAGAACAGAGCCCTGCAACAGAGAACGCATGGCCTGCGGTGCCTAGAAATTTACTATCTGGCCCTTTGCGGAAAGTTTACTGACCCCTGGTGTAAGGGGTCACCTGAGCCTTCTGCAGGCTTCCTGATTATGTTAACTTACTGAATTGGGATACATAATGCACATTGTTAATTTGGGATGGGTGGTGAGGGAATATTTGGGCTTTAGAGTAACTACTTATTCTCCTCATAGGACCCCATTTAAAATTCTAAGAGCCCACTCAGTAATAAATACATATGATATTTCATGGCAAATACTTTAAATTGAGAATTCTGGATTGAGTGACTCTCTGAAAAGGCTCACTCAATCCAATCTGAGTTTTAAAAATATCTTTAGGATCTTCCCTGCTCCTTAAAAGACGAAGAAGGTCTTTCTTATAACAGGAAGATCAGGATGGGGCAGGGTCAGGAACGTATCTATATACTTTTATTAAAAGGTGATACGGGCAAGGAATGTTATGCTTAAGCTTTTATGGATATTAAAAAGAAAGTATACCTTTTTATAAGAAATTTGCAAGGAAAATTCACTTACCACTCAGACAATTAAGTTTACTCTTATCTGGTAACCAAAAGAACAATGATTCTACACAACCCCTTTACAAGGTCACTGTGAACCTTGACCAGTTACTATTCTACTGAGTCTGGGAAGGAGGGCACAGGAGGGAAAGATCAGAAAGAGCTTAGCTGTATGGCATCGTTTCTAATATGGATATTTCAGGAGATGGGGCACAGGGGAAGCAGTAACTGATGGTAAGGCTTTCTTCTGTAAACCCACAGAGGCGGAGCAGGAAAACTGAGTGCAAAATCCAAGTATTCTGTGAGGTGGAATCCAGGGCAGTAAGCAATCAGGAAAGACAAGGCTGGGTGAGACGGGTAAAGCGGGTCGAAAGGCACAAACTGCCAGTTACAGAGAAACGAATTCATGGGAATACACGGCAACAGCAGGGTGACTATAGTTAGTAACACTGTATTATATATTTGAAAGTTGCTAAGAGAGTAGATCTTAATGAAAAGTTCTCATCACACACAAAAAAATCATCTGTATCTGTGTTGACAGATGTTACCTACACTTACTGTAGGAATCATTTCACAACCTATACAAATACTGAATCATGTCGTACACCTGAAGCTGATTTAATGTCAGTTATATCTCAATAAAAAAAAGAAAGACAAGGAATAGCTCTCAAAAATACCAGAGGCAGACATGTCCCCGCTCTTGAATAAAACCACTGCAAATAATAAATAAGTTGATAAGTTATTAAGGGGCTAAGCGACGAATGAAGGCATATAATGAAGAATGTAAACCTTTTCCACTACAGAGTGGGGAGGGAGAAAGCCTATCAGAAAAGAGTAAGCTTAACTGAGTGATAAGTGAATTTTCCTTGCAAATTTCTTGTAAGAAGGTATACTTTCTTTTTAATATTCATGAAAACTTAAGCATAATATTCCTTGCCCCTACTGCTGCATTAATAGAACTGGAGTTTGGGTATTCTCTCCCCATGCTTAAAATAAGGAGGGAAAAAAGAAAATGATTATCTTCTAATCTCTCTTCAAAATTAGAGGCTGAGCTACGGGGGTGGCAGAGGAGATGGCCACTCTGACCAGATACAGGGCTGACCTCTGCCCCTCACTCAGGAGAGAACTAGGGTTTGATTATACTTGCCCACTACCTAGCATTTTATTAAAAAAAAAAAAAAATGCTCTTTTTGGGCCAGTCAAGTTCTAGAAGTAGATACAAGAACAATTTTAGTGGCCATTGTATTGTATTCAGCTATACATTGTATTTTACACTTGTGCTTTAAAGCAGTTTAAAGGATACGATCTTACAAGCAAATTAGGGTAACAGAAACTTCCTGATGTGAGTAAAAACTTATTAAATGATAAAGATGTTTGTAGGATGTATTGCAGTATGCATAAATGAACCCCGAAAGGATATAATGAGCAGAAAGAATCTTTCTTCCACCCTGTCTTCTTTCCTTTAAAATCTTCCTAGAAAATAAAAAAACCTAAATTTAACGTTAAGAAGTCAGCGTGGTAGGTGCAGAACGGTTAAGTGTATTTTCCACAACAATTTTCCTATGGAGAGAGATGGCCTGGACGATGAGAGGAGTCAGTCATCTCCCAGTCTGTGCTTCTCCCGCACATAGCTGCTGGGTATCAGGCTGAATGACAGTGACAGTAAACACGATTTCCAGTAATTTCTGCAGGAATTGTGAATTGCCCTTCAACGCGTTTGAATTGGATTTCAACAAATG